GAAGGGAGAAAGGAAAGGAAAGGAAAGGAAAGGAAAGGAAAGGAAAGGAAAGGAAAGGAAAGGAAAGGAAAGGAAAGGAAAGGAAAGGACAGGAAAGGACAGGACAGGAAAGGAAAGGAAAGGATCTATCTGCTTTCTCATTGCTTGGTTTCCAGAGCCCAGAACAGTGCCTGGAGCATGGTTGGCATCCTAGTGTCATCAGCTTTTATTTAGGAATTCTGAGTCCTCTCACCTCTGTGGCATTATTTAGTCTATCCTTCAAAGCAGAGGCATGTGAAGGGAGACACACAGGCTAGTTCTCATGTTGAAAAGGCAGGATAAGACCAGGAATGAGGCTGTGGAGCTACTTACTGTCTTGGTCAGGTATGTCTTTCCCAAGGCATCCCAGATCTGTTCATCTGTATAGTTGCCAAAGGGATCTAGGTTGAATCTGCAGTATGATAAAAGACATATTCAGCAACATCACTCATCTTTGAAATTTCTATCCTATACATAGTAAATCACCAAGAATGGCTGAAACTAGGTGATTGTGACAGAGTTGGAAATATTTAGAGACACAAATGAAAATACCATGAGTAATAATTTATTGTGTTTCTCCGCCATCCATTCCTTCTTTTCCATAGCCCCCAAGTTTTGTTTGGTGATCCCACTTATCCTCAGCTCAAAGCCCATGTGATTAAGTGGATCAAATGTAGAAGTGGAACATGTGGTTCAGGAATAAGCCATTAAGCACATGCCAGTCCCTGGCCACAGTTCAGAGTGGGAAGGCAACTTCTCAGTGTATATCAGGACTTTAGAGGCAGTCACCAGAAAAGAGGTCTGTCCTTTCTCACTGGGTGGACCAGAAGAGGCTATTTTAGCAGCAGGAATGGGACACATGGAGCTTCCAGAGGCCTGCAGGCATAGAATTAACACAAAGCTGATCCTTGACTCTAACTATGGTCTTCCCCTGTACCCTGAATCAATAGAGACCTTTTCCAGCTTAAGTAATCTGGGGTTGGTTGTTTGGTCTTTTTGCAGTGGAGAGAACCCCAATTAATGATCCAAAGAGCCAATATTAGGATGACACTATTGTTAGGCACTGTCAAGTGAGTTTAAACTCAGAGAGACCCTACCTACAACAGAACAAAACTCTTTCCAATTCCGTATCGTCTTCATAATTGTTGCTGTGTTTGAGTCCATGGCTGAAGTCACTGTGTCAATCCCTCTCAATGAGGGCCTACCTCTTTTTTCCATGACCATGTGCCAAGCATGATGTCTTTCTCTAAGGAGTGTTTCCAGCTCACCTATTGTTAGCTACCACTGAGTCAGTTCCTGACTTTTTTTTTAAATGTATAATTTTTTATTTTATACTGGTTTACTTAAAAAAAGTTCATATACATTGTTTCTCACACTGGATCTTTCCCATTTCCTTTATCCACTCCTCCCTCCACCCATCAAATTGTAGGACCTATGATTAATGCCTCCTCAGCCTCAGCCTCCCACCCTCCCCTCCTTAGATCCTCATACATGTTGTACTACTTTTCTATTTCTACAGTAATGGTCTTATACAGTATTTGTCCTTGTGGGACTGGGTTAGTTCACTTAGCAAAATGCTCTCCAGTCCCTCCCAAATTAAGTAATTATAGCTCCTGACTCTTGATGACCCACACAGAACAGAACAGAAGGCTGCCTACTCCTGCACCCCCATGATACACACCATTGTGATTATGAGATTTTCATGGGCTGATTTGTAAAAGTTTGTATACATTATGTTTCACACTATTCTTCATTCACATTGTGTTTCATATAAGCATTCTCATGCATTATGTTTTATAAAATCAATCACCATTGGACCTTGCCCATCAATACCCAATCTTTTCAGGTCCCTGCTGGATCCTTCCCATTTCCTTCATCTCCTCTCTCCACCATGGGTTGATTTTTAGAAGCACTTTGCCAGGCCTTTCCTCCTCCTTTCTTCAATTTGGAAAGATGTGGCAAAATGGACCCTGCACATAGCAGCACACAAGTCTCCACTGTCAGGCAGGTGGTAGCTGTACTTGAAGTGAGTGGTCTGTGGATGGAGCCCAGGTCTTTCATATGCAACATGAGCATGCTATCATTAAACCACCAGGGCATCTGACCTCTCACTTGCCTGATGGTTCCAGAGAGCAGGACAGGATCTTGAGGGATAACCGAGAGCTTGGATCGCAGCTCCTCCAGGCTGATGCTGCAGATGTCCACACCATCAATGAGAATCCGTCCTGCCATGGGCTCCACCAAGCGGAAGAGAGCCACTCCCAAGGAGGACTTCCCTTTGGGACAAGAAGAAAAGAGCCTGTTGCCTGCCCTTCAGCAAAAGAGGACACACAACACGTACAGTCGACCCACTGCCCTCCATGACTCATTCTTCATCACCATGACCACTGAGAAGGCAGAAGAGCTTTGGGGCCTTTACTTAAAGTGGTGTCCTAAACCATGAGCATTTTTCTTCTTTTTTATTATTATTAATTTTAATGAAAGTTTACAGAGACTTAGGGTCTCCAGTCATTCATTGTTGCACTTTTCTCCCTGCCCACCCCCTCCTCCCGAATTCACTGTGCTCCTTAATAAGTAAAAGAAAAATTTTTTCATTGCTATGCAATCCCTCCCCACAAGTCCACTCCACTGTGCAGCCTTCATTCTGGACTCCTGTCATGACAACAATACCTAATCATCTATCCCTTTTAAACAGTTCTCTCCCTCATTATGAGCAGTTTTCTTACATCCTCCATCAAAGCTTACAAACAGAGCTATTTGATCAAATCCAGCCCATGTATTCATTTTGTATGATAAAAATAAAGTCACTGTTCTTTAAAGCCCTTGCCAGTATTAAAAACATCAAAGATCTTGCATATGAAAATTCTCTTGAAAACTGGCAACACTGGGACAGGTGTGTTTGGGCAAGAAGCTGCAGCTGAGTGGAACTATTGTCTTCAGATGGGACAACCCTCTTCTGTTTGCCCCAGTGCCCTCACACCCCATTCACACACCCGAAGTCTATTTCATCTATCTCTTATTAGACCAGTTCCAATCATGTTTAAATGTCCAGTGCCCAGAAGGGTAAAAGCTGTGTGTCTTGTTAAAATAACTACACTCATACATTTCCTGTGACCAGCACATATTATTTAAAAAGGAGGGAAATAAAGCTCACTGCTCAATAAATATCTGTTGAATGAATAGAGCCAACTGGACTGAGAACATCTCTAGGCAAGATTCCAGCTCTTTCAGTCCAACTGGCAGGTGAAAAACAACAATGGAGGGATACACAAAAGATTTTGTATATGGAAGTTCTTCACCTTGTGAGAGCTGGTGCTGCAAGGAGGTGCCACCTGGAAGAGCAACTCTGTCCAAGCTTCTCAAAACTAAGGGGGTCCCAGTGGCAGATCATAGCATCAGTTTATAACAAACCCAACCCACACCTACTGCCACTGAGACATATCCATCTCCGGATGACCTTCCATCACATTTATAAGACTCACATGCAAGCAAGATTCTATTGAAGATTACCCAAAAACAACTGGAGCAGCACATCAGCAGAGAACTGCCAGAAGTCCAGGCTGGGTTTAGAAGAAGGGGTCGTGGTACTAGGGATATTGTAGCTGATGTTAGATGGATCTTAGCTAAAAGCAGGGAATACCAGAAGAATGTCTATCTGTGTTTCATTGATTATGCAAAGGCATTTGACTGTGTGGATCATAACAAACTGTGGCTGACTCTGAGAAGAATGGGAATCCCAGAACACTTGATCGTTCAAATGCGAAACCTATACTTGGACCAAGAGGCAGTCTTGGGAACAGAGCAAGAAAACACTGCATGGTTCAAAATTGGGAAAGGCGTACACCAGGGATGTGTCCTATCTCCATACCTTTTCAACATGTATGCAGAACAGATTATCTAAGAGGCTGGGCTCTATAAGGAGAAATGTGGCATCAGGATTGGTGGAAGATCTATTAACAATCTGCGTTATGCAGATGACACAACCCTGCTTGCTGAAACTGAGGAGGACCTGAAGCACTTGCTGCAGAGGGTCAAGGACTGCAGCCTTCAGTATGGATTGAAGCTCAATGTCAAGAAGACAAAGATTCTCACCACTGGACAAATTGGCAGCATCAGGATGGATGGTGAAGAGATTGAGAATGTACACAGCTTTAGTCTGCTTGGCTCCACGGTCAACACTCTTGGCACCAGTAGCCAGGAAATAAAAAAAAATTTTAAAAAAACGTATTGCAATGGGAAAGTCTGCTGTTAGGGACCTCTCCAGGGTATCGAAGAGCAATGGTGTCACTCTGGAGACGAAGGTGCATCTGAAGGCCATGGTCTTTGCAATCACTTGTTATGCATCAGAGAGTTGGACAATGACTAGGGAGGATAGAAGGAAAATTGATGCCTTTGAGCTGTGGTACTGGAGAAGAGTATTGAATGTACCGTGGACTGCCAAGAAAACAAACAGATTCCTCTTAGAGAGGGATAAGCCAGGCTGCTCCTTGGAGGTAAGGATTCTGGGGCTTCGTCTGACATACTTTGGACATGTTGTAAGGAGGGACATGTCCTTGGAGAGGGACATCAGGCCTGGGAGGGTGGAGGGATGACGCAGGAGGGGAAGACCCTCTATGAGGTGGATTGATTCAGTGACTGGGGTAATCAGGATGGGTGTGTTGGAGGCAGTGTGATTGGCGCAGGATAGATCAGGGTTTAGGGCTGTTGTACATAGAGTCGCTACGAGTTGCAAGCGACTCGACGGCACATAACAACAACAACAACAAACCTTTGCAGGAGGAGACTGCCTCCTGTCTAACCTGGGAGATCAATCTAGTGGACTACTAAACCACAGCTCCTTTAATCTTTTCATAGACAGCAAGAACCAAGTCTGAGTAGTGTCTAAATAGTGTCTTAAAGAATGGAAGAGGTGGTATTTGTGCCAACTACCCAAAAAGGATAGAAGAGCAAGGGAAGGAAAGAAATAGAGGAGGCACGGAAAGGAGATGGTGGTTGATAAGAGAAGTTCATTAAGGGAAAGCAGGAAAAGGAAGACTCTGACCTCATTCTGGGCGTCCTGCTCTGCATCAATCAGCCTCCACACAGACACGGTCCTTGGCCTATAGCACTACTTTTCTGGATTCTATCTCTCTTCCCATCTCCGTTCAAATGTCATGACACAACCTGGATGTCCACAGCTCAGGTAGCCTACCAGTCCTGCAGCTCTTATAACATTACCTTGCTTATTTCCTTAATGTCATCATCACTAAGTGCAATTAATTTTTTCTCTTGGTAATTCAGTGGTTTAACATCTATCTCTCCCCAAGCAACAAATGCTGGCGAGGTTGTGGAGAAACTGGAACCCTGATTCACTGTTGGTGGGAGTGTAAAATGGCGCAACCCCTGTGGAAAGCAGTATGGCGCTTTCTCAAAAAGTTGCAAATAGAGATACCATTTGACCCAGCAATTCCA